AGCACAGTACGCGGAGTCAATAAACTTGAAGCTGGTTGGCTTCTATCAGGCCAGCGAACGACTGGACGACACATCATTGGTGCCCATAGGGGAGAAGGTCGTGGAGAAAGTCAAGGCGGGGTTCAGCGATGCTGTAGCATTTGTTGTTCGTCCCGTTCGGTCACTTTTCTTGGGGCCGCCCGCTAACATCGCTCATGACTTGGGAAGATCGATGGTGACAAGCTGGGCTCGGACGAGGCTGCCTTGATTGTATGTCTACGCCTTCTTCTCGCGCGCGCAAATTTGATATAGCCGTCGGTCTAGCCATATGTTTCATCGACATCGTCAACCTGGCGGCCATACTCTGGGGACGCCCTCCCATTCGGCAAGAACTCTGCCTTCCAACTCGCATCTGAGAACTTGCCCCGACGCGCTGTTGCTCTCGTGCGCGATGACCGTCTTCATCAGAAGTTTGGAGACTTTGACGACCACTTAGAGGACGTTGCCATCGGTACGTTTGCAATGTGGACGAAGTTTTACGCGATGATATCAAATCTTCTCAATAGATTGGTTGAGAAACACAAGGTGTCTACCAGCAGCTTGAGCATCTTGTTGCATCTTGACACGTCTCCCTGAGGATTGCTCGTCCTGGCGGCTTCTCTACAGTGGTAGAACCGAATCACGGAGCTACGATCTTCAGAGTCAAATACACCTTTTTTGCAACATCTTGAACTTCTACAGTGTGAATTATAAACAACAGTTTTACGCTGGGAGATTGGATTAGATTAACATTGACCAAAGACTCAAGAGTCGTCGATCGGATTCACGGCTTTCACTGGTGGTACCCGCTCAGACCTTTTTTGACAGTTACTTGAACTTTCATGTCAACAGTAACTGCGACTCATCCTCCTCGAGCTTTTGGTCTTGTCTGCGAGAATTTGAGAAAAATTGGCGCGCTGCCAATCAGCGAATACTTGTCGAAATTTCAACAGCCACATCCTAATACTCCTGCTTCTGAGGCTGAGTTGAAATGTTCTGCATCTCTCACTCCTTCGACTGAGAAGTGCACCTTGGCATCTACATACTTGACACAAGGAAAGGATCATATATTTGACCTAGAAGACGCTTTTAAGTCGCTGTACCCAAACTCTTCCCTCGTGGACGCGCTGCAGTTCGAGATCGTGCGGTGTCCTGGAGATCCTAACGGTGCGTGAATATCTTACTGAATTTGAACCATGCCCACGAGACTGTTTCTCTAGGTATACAGTGCATTTTGACAATCACGCGACCTGAGGGAGCGTCTCGGGTATACGAGAGTCAGCCTTGCCACTCAGAAGACAGTCATACTGCCAAGTTGCAAGTCGGCCGAATAGCTGTGGAGAAGGGCGCTCTGGACTTCATCCTTTACGGTGAGGTAGAGATGAAGGAAGCACATTCAAATAAGGTGGAAGATGGGGATGGGGATGCCAGTGTGGACAATCACACTTGCGCCGCTGAGGGCCATGAGGACCAACACGTGCTTGACATTGAAAGGGCATGTCTGGAACACCTTCCTAGCAGCCGTCCCCCAGAATGGATAATGTATCGTACATCTGATTACGAAGAGACTCTGTGTAAGTACTCTTCTACTCTCCTGTCGTCCATTCGCCCGTTTCACTCATAGGTTTTGTACTAGGTTGGGGTGCAGCTCTCCGTGTTCATCTTGTTGATAAGCCCCTGGTGTATGCCACTTCAGAAATGAACTATCGCACTGGACGCGAATCCAAGGCCGCCTGTGCAAAGATTGCGATTGACGAAGGGGCCCTTCTTCACATCAACAACGCCGGGCCAAAATCTTCGGGATTTCTGGAGAGGCCGGAGCCTCCGCCGATATCTACAGCCCCTATATCGCTTGACGCCTGGTATGACACTCTTCCACGTCCACTCCCTAGCTTTTTGGGCAACATGCGCGTGTCTGAAATTGGTCCTGTTACTCTGTTGAACGAGTGGATCACGAGGGCGCGAGGAGCGCGCTTCACGCTGAAGTACTTCTGGCCGATGGTACCCATTTACGAACGTAGGTACCGGTTATCTTTGAATAGCTCGCGTTCTGAATTTCTACCGTCATGGGTGCTGTGCTTGTCCTGGAGCGCCCTGGGCACCGTCGCGCCTACCTCGTCGACTCCATATTTGGGAAACGCTCCGACGCCAAAAACGCTGTCATTGTGTCAGCAATGCTTCAAGGCGTTGGTGAATACATTAAGGCTGTTGGCGTCGCGATTGAGAACAAGATCACACCGAAGTTCAGAACAATCGTGCATGATCAAATATTCCCGATGCTCAACGATCAATGTCCCCACACCTGGACATACCATACGGACAAGGACGGTGAACCTCTTTCGATTATATTCTGCGCACAGAATCTGACTACTCGTATAGCCTATGGATGTACTTTGACTGTTACGCTGAAGGGCGAGGAACATCGATACATCGCCGAATCAGAGTACCGTACCAAGGCAGATGCAAGGGTTGCCGCTGGAATGGCGGCTTCTAAGCTAGGGCTCCCCGAGCTTCTACGCTTCCAAGGCGAGCTCCCCCCGCCGGGCTACCGAAGTTTCTGGGAGACAATACAGCAGCGGCAACAAGATTTGTCGACCATACCCAAGGAGGTTCCGAAGCAGCCGAAGCGAAAGATGGGCGAGATTGGCGGGAAGACGAGGATGGATGCTGAACCTGCCAAAGGCAGTAATAGTACACGAAGGAGAAAGAGGAGAAAGAATGCAGCGATGAAGAGGGAGACTCTGGTGTTGGCGAAGGAGGCTGACGGCAGCGAGGGGCTGGCGATGCCTTTGGGCGAGAAGGTTCCTGGAGAAAGGCCCGCAGGTATCAGCGGCGACGTTGCCCTTGGGACATCGGAAAAGGTCAAAGCAACATCCGGTTCGCTCTCCTCCGAGCATCCACAGCCATCAAGCGCCTCGCCGCGTACTCACATCGACATTTCATCCCGCCCTCCCCCACCGCCGACTTTTGGTCAAGGCTTGACGCCGCAACCACTGCCCCTTCCGTACGATCTCGGACCTCAACCGCCGTGGCCGCGCTCATTTCCGGGCTTCACATACTCGCTACACTTTCCGCCTCCACCGAACCCACACGCACCGTTCCCTGGTATGCATCCTTTGGCTATGCCCACCCTGAGACCTCCTCACGGGGGAGTCTCATCCTCAAAGTAGACCAGAACAGTGTTGCGGCAGTCTGTATATCTGAGGGGAATCGCTATGAACTTGAATGCTCGACGGTATGGGTGCCATGAGCTGTCACTTGATGTCTCTTTTCGCGATTATGTCAGGGCGTCTTTAAGGGCGTCCGTGACAAGTAATTGTGGCCCAAGTGTGAATTTCGTATACAAGGCCTCTTGTGTATGAGAATTGCGCAGAGTATTTTACTCTTGCTAGTTCAGACTTGTATAGGATTGTTGCAATGCTGGGTGCAGGCTGAGTGCAAGATTCATTCCGGAATCCGCTTGCGTGAGAATTTCAGGAATCATCGGGTAGATTCCGCCAGTTTCTCTTGTTTCCTATAAAAAGAAGCAAAAAGGTCAAACATGCAGCGCATGCATCGGCTGTCGAGCTCATCTTCTTGACCCCAGGTCCTCTTGCGGCGACTGCGCCACATCAGCTCCATCCCCAAATCGCCTCAGGAGCCGGTCACTGCCCTGCTAGCAATCTATACGAGCGTGGTCGTTGCGCCACGATGTTCGGGTGCTGCGTTGCTGGGCGGCTTCTCCAGACAAACCTCCAACAAGTCGACGAGACTCACGCATATTTTGAGCTTCCCAACGCGAGCACGATGAACCATCTCACTGTGTTTCTACTCGGCACGGGTGCGCGTTTCAACTCATGTCCGGACTCGACACTGACATTCACCTCCCTTACAGTTCCATTTCCGGATGGCTACGGCGCGACCGTACACTTTTACTGGCCTGGAAAAGGCTTTCAAGTACTGGGCATGTATGTCCATTTATCATGCATTCCAACCAACACGTTCCAATCCCACCCACAGGCTGTCCAACGAAAAACCGTCCGCGATCTTCCGCCTCCGCGGCTCCTTTATCCAATCGTCCGCGTCCTCAGCTACCCATACCGCCTTCTCCTCCGCATCCATCGCCGACACAAGCGCAGATGTCACCGCCGTCCTCGGACTTGCTATCGAGCCTCTAGCTCAGATTCAGGCTCAGCTTGCTCAGCTTCCATCTACAGTGGCTAAGCCCGCAGGCCCTACGCCGGATCCAACACTCCTCGCCGAGAGAATCGTGAAAAATTTGTTCAATTATGTGTCGGGCTTCGTGGAGGGCAGCGGAGGCGTGACGCCTGAGTTGTCCGTGCCTATGAACATCATCGTGAAGTGGTATGAGAGCTTCATGAACAAGATGCGAGTGGGCGGAGTAGGGTTTTTGGAGAGAGGCGATTAAACCATTATAGTGGACGTTTGATAGGGTACTCAGATCGGAAGAGTTTGTAACTGCTTGTACCATACCTCCAACCGCATGATTGTAACGGATATTCGTTAGTCCATATCGCCTCACCTCCAAGCACTGACTTACCCTGCAACCTGCAGTGCACCGGCAGGTCGTGTGTTCAGCTAGAACTGCCCAGTGTTCTTGGGCCATAGATCTAAGGTCGTGTAACCAGGGGCTGTAGCCTTTTACTGTGGTGCTTTGGCAGACGACAAGCAGTTGTGGATATGAGCGTTGCTTGATTCGTTTGTCGTTGAGAGATGGCATGTAGGGAGTGTATAATGTGGGCCTCTAACTAGCTTTAACTCGATCAGTCGCCGTACGTACCGACCGGCGCACTCGACCAGCCGAACTCACGCCAGTGCACGACGTCGAGTCAGCTATTAGATTGGGCATCATGATGTTGGGATCGCGCCACACCCATCTACTCGGCTTCGACTTCATGTATATCTTCTCGCGTCAATAGTTGCAAATGGAAGCGCTCCTGGGATTGCATATATCTTCTTCGAGTGATGCGGGGGATGTGTCTTGCCCTGTGGCTTAGTTGGTTACGGCGTCCGACTGTTATACTCTCTCTTCAATCGGAAGATCGAGAGTTCAAGTCTCTCCGGGGCAGTGCTTTTTGGCTCTTGGCTCTGGTGGGAGAGAGAAAGCAGAGCGAGGGCTTGTAGAAGAAGAAGAAGAAGAAGAAGAAGAAGAAGGAGGAGGAGGAGGAGGAGGAGGAGGAGGAGGAGGAGGAATGTGGGATGGATAGATGGATGGAATTACCCACTGTGGTCCCCAAAAAGAAGCAGCTGGCCATGGCGAGAAGAGCAGGGGAAAGAGAGGAAGATGAGCGAGGTAGATGACAATAGAGAGTCAAGGACAAGTCCGGACACGCGCGCAGCCACACAACCTGACACGCATTATGCATCACAACAAAATTCACTCGACGAGCGCCACAACAACACACTATGCCGTTCCTTTGCGTTATAAATACTTCTTCCTGCGTAATCAGGAATCAGGATGAAGCCGCTTGTCAGCTGCAATATACAAACTTCATCATCATCATTTTTGGCTCTGGGACTTCCCCGACGTCGTTGTTTGAGAATCCCGCGATATCAGGGCTTGTTCATATAGGGACCGGCCAGTGGCGGTGAACGGTCTACTCTGATCGTCACCGATGCGGTTATGGTGTGATGATGTGATGACATCATTCAGGAGTCGGAAGTCAAGCAGGCTGCAGGATGCGTACACATTTCCTTATCCTTACTTTACTGGAATACTAGAGGAGAGTGTACGATAGAGAACACGGGAATACAGACACAAGGATGGACAGCATAGAAGGAAGAAATTGTGAAGAGAAAGAGAAAACCATCTTCCATAGTCTAATTAAAAGAAACGGCGAACATTTTACCCCTCCAACACTCTGACGATCCCAAACGCAGCCCCAGCAGCCACGCCTCCAACCAGCAACGTGCTGACAGCGCCCCACACGTAGCCGGCGGGGCCCACGCCAGCGCCAGTCACATGCGCCTTGACGGCGCCAAATATAAGGAGAATAATGCCGGTGACGATGGAGGAGTAGATGAGTGCGACGTGTGCGCGAGGGATGAAAAAATAGGGGAGAAGAGGAATGAGGCCTCCGACGAGGTAGCCCATGCCAATTGTGAAGGCCGAGATGTAGAGGCGGCGGTCAGGGATCTCTTCTGCAAGTGCAAATGCGTCAGCAGTGTTTCGCAAGGCGGATACAATAGAAAGAACACACCAAGCCCGAGACCAAACTTGAGGAGGAAAGGCGTGATCCCCACTTCCTTACTCCACCTCAAGCCCGCAGTCTCTTCATCGCTCTGAGGCGGATGGCCAACCTCCGTCAATTCCTCCCTAACCTCCACATCTCTTAAACACTTTGCGACCTTCCTGCATGTATCTTCATCCACACCGACGGGCGCCAGGACGTCCGCAACCTCCCTCTCCATCTCGCCCTCGCATGAGCGGACGACGCGGAAGGCAGTCTGTGTGCGCAGGTAGCGGTAGTGATCGCGCTCGGACTGCGAGGCGAGGAAGCCACCAATGCCCATGGATATAGCGCCGGCGATGAGCTCGGCGACGCCGCCAAGGATGACGAATTTCGATTCGCCGAGGGAGGAGAGACCCGCAGAAAGAGCGAAAGGGACCGTGAGGCCGTCGCTCAGACCGATTACACTTTAAAGAACACAAATCAAGTTAGTAATTGGAAAAGTCTAAAGATAAGGACAGAGAAGAGCATACACATCGCGCACAACATCCGGGTCAATAAGCGTCCTCTCATCTGCCTTGAGCTCCTTGCAGCATACGCCGTCGGCACGGGTGGGGCGCGCGCACTTGGCGGCCAGTGGGGCATTCCCGCCAGACCGAGACACGTTGATGGGCCATACTGGCCTTTGCGGTTTTGGAGTTGATCCACGCGGTGGAAGGGGGACAGAGGCCGGCTGGTTGTTTGACATGGCGATGGTGGCGCAAGTGTATACGGTGGCGTAGAGGACCAGGTGGTGGTGCAAGTTCAAGAGCACAAACGCCGGATTTTTCGAGGCCCACTTGGTGCCGTCGCCGCTGACAAACTTATTCGCGCCGCGATCGGTGCCTGGGAGATTCGGACCGCGTAGCCGGATCAAATCGTCGACAAAAAAAAAGTGACGTGGCGGTGCACCGCGTACACACTGTCCCAGAGAGACTTGAACTCTCGATCTTCCGATTGGAGAGTATAACAGTCGGACGCCGTAACCAACTAAGCCATGGGACATCTGCAGACGTTTTTTACATCGAGAAAATTGCAAACGCTGGCCAGAGTGCACTTGGGAGAGAAGCAGATCCTACAGAGCATTATGCCTGCCAGCATCACACCTCCTTCAATTCAGGAAACCAAAATTTTGATGCATTGTGTACTGATGAAGCTTGCCCTATAAGCCATGCACTGGTTGCGTTCCGATCCGGCGATCATTCAAAACTTCAAGGCGGTCGAGACCGTGGCGTCGATGCCCACCGCGACAATGCCGCTTAGTAATAGTACTAGTAGCAAGGTAAGTTAAGGACTAGTCACGTGCGGTTGGCAACTTGGCATTGGCAGCTACCAAGTACATACCACAGTAAACCGGATTTAGGCCATTCTTGCTTGAATTGGTGGCGCGCCATATATAGGTCTAGTAATTATCACAACGTCCGCGGTGACAAGGCTACTACAATCGAGCCATTGACGACACCCTCCTTCACGTTCAGCCACCTTCCTAGACGATGTTCCTGTCCTAGACCAGCGACAAGAAGGATCGGCTGGACGTCACCCTTCTTGTGACTTATCGTGAGAGAGTCATCGCGAGTAGAACCATCCGTCAAAGTTTTTGAGGTAGTCCACGTGGAACGGTCGAAAAAGTCTTTGGGCGGAGATAATAATTGAAGGGAATTGACGACCCCTGGTGCTGGTACAGTGCCAACAAGAGCAAACGACTTGAGTTTAGAGTCAAGCTTCCATATTCGAATGTCGCCCTCCCACGAGCCTGAGGCGGTGTAAGAAATCGTTGCGCCAACGTCAAAAGAGGCGATTTGCTTACCTGACACTATCACATCGGAGTAGCGCAAACTGGCAAGTGATGTTATCCAACGAGGGGTCTTGATCACGCCCTCCGTCTCGCTGGCGGCTTCGCTGAGCCCATGCGCAAGGGGTTGCGTGAATATTGGCTTTTTCTTTTGCGTCGTCCATAGACATATTGAACTAGAGTTGGCTTTGAACAAAGAGTTGCAAAAAGAATGTAAAAACATACCCGCTGTCACCGCCGCTAACAAAGGTCGTCTCATCGATCATCGCCACACATTCGATGCTCCCTTCAATGAAGTTTTTCGTCTCGACCAATTTCTCCTTCTTCTCCACGCCATCCATTTCGTCGTCGTCGTCTCCTTCATCATCACCCCGCAAACCCCCCTCAATGACTTCCCGGACGCGACTGCGGCCTCCACCACGAAACACCAGTTGACTCTCCTCAACAATTTTCCAGTACCGAACGGTCTTGTCACGACCGCCTACACTCACGCACGTCTCCCCACGGAGAGTGTCGAGCGAAAGAACGTGATCCTGGTGGCCAAACAATGTTTCCACATAACCCATGACCGACGGCGAGAGGTCGTAAACCTTCAGCGTGCGGTCGAACGAGCCGGTGTATAGTTGGTGCGTTCCTTTGCGGAAAGACAACGCCTAGAGAGCTCTGAGCGGGATATGTGGGCGATGAAATCTGCAGTACGTACGGAAATGATGTCCTTGTGCCCAAGATTTCCTCCAAACGCCTTGATCCACTCGCCCCTCTCCGCATTCCACACCACCAGCTTCCGGTCCCTCCCAGCACTCGCAAGGTACTGTCCATCGTGACTCAATGCCAGGCTAAGCACTTCGTCAGTGTGGCCTTTGATATCAAGGTCAAGCGGAGCTTTCCCCTTCCCCTTCTCCTTGGAGTTCGGAGGGCGGACTTTGTGGAACGTCGCCAGCCGTTTGCCCGTCGAGAGGTCCCATTTGATTATCGAACCCTCTTTTCCAGAAGTAAAAAGATGTTTCCCGGATTCTGAGGCGACCGCTGAGGTTACGGAGAAGCGGTGTCCGCGGGTACGCAAGAGCATCGTCGGAGGTTTTGTGAAATCAAACTAGAGAGAAACTGTCAGCCCAGATCACTAGAGGAATTCTAAACATACCGAGTCTGCGATAAACATATGAACCTTGCCCGAGTGTTCAAGTACATCCTGCTTTAGTCGCGCAGAGATGAGTTCCTTGTCAATGTCGGCCGCATCAAACTCTCCATCCGCTAAAAAGAATGAGATTCTGAGTAGAAACAATCGACACGGACTCACCCAAGCCCTCCTTGACGCTCTCCAAATATAATTTAGCCAAACGTAACCGCTTCTGCGCCGGCGTTTCGTCTTGGTCCTCTTCCCCACTCTCTCCCGTGTCCACATCCAAATCTCCCCTCAGATCCATATCATCAATCCCTCCCTCACCCTCGTCCGTCTGGTCAGACAGTTCCTCATCGGCCGCTCGACCCTTTTTCTTCTGAACGCCGTTGACCTTTGCCGAGCCATGCTTTGCAAAACCCTGGGATGGTCCTTTGCGCGTGAATTTTGTGCTGCTCCCGGACGAGGTTGCCTTGCCCCCAGATTCGACGCGCTTGCGCTTGCGAGGTTTATTGGACGTGAAGAAAGCGTCAGGCATGGAAAAGTATGGTCGCGCTCAGAAATTTTTTGAGATTCATCGACGGCTATTTGGTTTTGTCTTCAGATCCAAATAGCGCCTTGAGATCATCCGACTCCCGAGGGTCCTCTGGCAAATATGCGTCGCCAACCACTTTACCCTCAGTGAACTCCCACATAAATCGTCGTGATTTGGTGGCACGACGCAGAAGTCTGCCGACGACGGTGTCCTGACTGAACCAGAGGGTCTATGTAATAATGTTGCTTTGTCTGCCAGCACCTCTTCTATGTTACCGCTCTCCGTCTCATCTCATCTTCGAATTCGCTGGTAGAGCCTTTCAATGAGGTTTCAAAAAATAGCCAAAGCCCTCATACAATGCTCATCGTACCTGGCTTGTGTATCAAGTCTACATTCAATGGAGGACTGTCTAGATT